GAAAACAAATACGCCACTGTGATGGGTAGCTGCTGCCTTGTGAGTGATAGTGAAGAAGGCCAAGATAACGATGACGACGACGCAGAAGGGGACATCTACAGCAGCAGTAGCAATGAAGATGCAGACAGTCAAGCAGTAATCTAATCTCTTTAGTATACCCCCAATAAAAAAATATTGAATTTGCAAGTCTGTTTTGACCAGCAGTATCTGCTTCAGTGACCGCTGGCAAAAATGATCTCTGTTTGTCGATCCGACCAATCACAGGCAAATCTTTCATCACAAAAGCCTCAATTATAAATGGCCGTGGTAATGTCTTGCTCGCGAGCCTTGCTGCCTCAAACAACTGCGAATTACACATTTTTGACACCAGAAATGGGTGTAAAACCGGATTTTGCATCTTATAGTGTGTGCGGTGGGCGTGTATTGATGTAGAAGTTTGTAAACGGCCTAGCGAAGGGTTGTATCCTCTCTCTTGTAATAAATACTTTCGTCGACAGCCCACGGTTTTTTTTTTCATGTGTCCGCCTACAATTTGCTGGTTTCGCTCGTATCGCAGGTCTCCCGATTATGGCATGGTCTTTGTAATTACCGTATTTCGCATGTAGAGAGCTTCAGCTGCTTATGAGCTACACCCTATTATTAACCAATCACAAGGCATTCTGTTTTACCGCGTGAGATCGCATGTAGAGAGCTACACATCTATTTTACCGGTATACCGGTGTATTTTTACGCAAAAGATAAGCCACCAGTTTCAATGGCGCGCCAGCGCCCGAATGGAAGACCAAGCCGCGGTGGTGCAGGCCGACATGCCCAGCAGTACAAGATCACTGCAGAGTCTGTTCAAAAGAAGCTGACTGTTCTAGATCATCTAGCGGGATACGAACCACAATATCGCACTTTTATCCTAACCTTGCTTCCTCTGCCTACAACTCCAAACGAGCGACTATCTACCGCTGAGCACGCAGTCGTGCCAGCTTAGATGCTGCTCTAGCTGAAAATAAGGGTGAGCATAGGAAGGTGCGAAATGTGGGCGTGAGGACAATCCCCGAAATCAACGTTGTACTACTAAAAGTTCCGCCTCACGCTACGCCTGTCTCACAGCCTGCAGATGTCGCGTGGAACTTCCCACTCAAGAGCAGACTACGGAAATATTGGCACGAAGACATGCAAGCGCAAATTAGAGCCCCGCGAGCACCAGGCCAGGTGTTCAAATTGAAGAAGCCTGACCGCACAAAAATTTGTGGCTGGGTATTACAAGCGTGTAACCAGCTCTCATCAGACACGATAGCAAACGAATTTCGCGCTAGTGGGCTGCTACCAAGCCCCAACTGCATCGCATCGGCCGATCTTATTGTGGATTAAGAGAGGCTATTTCTGCTTGAAGGTCCAACCGTAGAAGAAGAGCAGGACTTTGAGTTTACGGGTAGTGACATCCTAGAGGAAGCAATGGTGTGAGTGGAATTTGGTACAATTGCTCTTTTTTTGGGTTGCACGTATTTTTTTGGGTATACTTTGAATTATTTCTAAACCTATCACCAGTGGGGTAGCTCTCTACATGTGAAATGCGGTATATCTTATGAAATCACACATGTATTTTTTTGTTTACCTGTATGTTTTTAAAATTTTATTTGACTAAAGAGTCTTCTGCCATAATTTATGAGACAAACTTTTTTATCATTATGTACCTCTCACAACCAACCCTGACTTCTCACATACTTAAATACGCTGCTACCGACAACTCTCAAAGCCAGCTACACAACACAGCTTGCTGGCTTCCTCACTTTTCAATATGAGTAGCTAAAACCACCCGCCTTTTTGCTAAGCCACCATGATTCTTGCCCCGCGCCCCCACCACGCCATCTTCACGCCAGTCCAGGCTACCGGTTTCTACTTCCGACCGTGCCGCAACGCTAATGACGAGGTCGTCTCTGAGTACTTCCGCTGTCGCTGCGGTACGCTTCGGAAGCAGACCCGGCGGAACGGCTTCCCTGACCTCATGCAGCACGTCCGGCGGAAGCACCCGGACTACGAGGCCGTTATGCTGTCTGCACCTACCGCTGAGAATGGATCGCTGCTATGCTACGTCCCTCGGTCAGCACTCACCGTTTTAGGCTGGCTCGACTGGATTGTCAAGCGCGGCCTCCCGCTCAACTTCTGCTTGCAAAAAGGTAATATTTTTTGCCTAGTGTAAATCTTATTCTAGATTTAGGCAAAACAAATTTTTGTGCTACTCAGATACACAAATTTGGGCCCGATTTGTGTCGAGACACTTCAGTGAGCCATGGAAAGTCTCACTCGGATTATGGAGCGTCACATTGCTGCCGAGATGCCTCAGTAATTTGGTTCAATTATGGGCGGCTGGAGCCACGCGTCTGAACATTTCGTTGCTGTCTTCGCCTGGTGCGAAGTCGGCGGGCGTCACGAAGACCCCGCTCCTCTGTATGGTGCCGCTCCA